TTTTTCGAACTTTAATCATAATTTTCTTCGTGTATATCGTCACTACAAGCTCTGCTCTGTACTATAGGAAGTAAATCAATAGACCTGCTCTGACATGAATGCAAGTAGTAGGTTTTCATTGTATCCTAATAATACGAAGATATTGAATTAAAATATTCACTATGCCCTGCGCCCTGCCCTGCCCTGCCCTGTCCTGCAGGGCAGGGCAGGGCACAAATTTTTTTGACATACTTTCTTTTTGCACGGCAGGGCAGAACAGGGCAGGGCAGGGCCGGGAAAAGCGCCCTGTGGACATCTCTGTATCGAACATGAATAATTATATAAAGATGTAAATTCATCCATAAGAAGACGCATCATATCTTTAATAAGATTGAGAACAATTTTATTTGAATCTATTGATCGATTTCGTTCACGTAAATAATCATAAAATGTTTGAGAGGCTTTATTTTTATAGAATTGTCGAGAAGGTAGATCAGGCCATCTAAAATATAAATATATACACAATGGCTACCAAAATTATTCAACTTTTACTCAATAAAAAACTGTCCTAGAGAGTTCATGTACTAGATACTGAGAAATTAGGCTTTTGGGTTGTCTAAAAAAATCCTAACTTAGGGAATCAAATAATCAATGTTTTTCATTTATATTCTTTTTGTAATATGGTTTGCTCTACTTGAATCATTATTTGAAATTATGATAGATACTGTATATCCATTCATTAAATAGATCAAATAATAGAATTGAATCTTACTTTGTAAATGCTAATGAAGCCATATGTCCACCAAGGGAAAAACCATGTAGAATAGCTGATGTTAATTTCATTTTTTGACACCAATAAAGTAGATCTGGTGGTTTTCTTAAACCATAATATGGATTTTCAAGAAGAATTGAACCTATAGGATATTGATTAATTAATGGGACTGCAGTAAATAACCTTCGTCGACTAAAACCTTGATCACGTGACAGAACAAGTTGAAAATGAGCTGTAGCTGTTTGAGATGGAACCTATTTAAATAAATAGAACAAAAGAAAAAAGATAATATTAATTAAATGATTAAAATAATTTTAATTACTTACCAAATGTGGTAAATAATTGGCAAGTGATGAACGAAATCGAGCATTTATATAATTTTGATTACCTTTTTGTTTCTTGTTTAATTATTTCAACAGTATTTTCCTGTACATTTTCAGCTGGTACAATTTCTAAACACTCATCTCTTAAACCAATTTTTCCACGTCGATTGGTAAAACTTTCTTGTAAATGAAATGGATTTCTCCAACCACGTACAAATGATTGAATGAATATAAAACATCGAAAGAGATTATCGAAATTCATCATTTCAATCATACTCGAATCTTTAATAACATCTAGAGAATTGTTGATATGATCTTCTTTTTCTTTAATCGAACAAAAAACAGGACAATACAATGCTTTAGTATTCTCAATAGTTTTTAAACACACACATACGAAAAAAACTCTTATATGTTCTTTTTATTTTCCTAAATCAATCTCGTTAGTTTACTATGAAAACAAAAAAAACAATATTTTTATTGCATACCACCAGTAATGTTAAGTAACATTTGGGGACCATGTGGTAAATAGACGCTATTTCTTGATTTTGATAATTGATTTGCAACACCTTCAGCGGCTTCAATTCGTCGAAGTTCGATCAAACCTAACATGAATATTAAAACAAAGTAAGACAGGATAATAAAAGATATTCTAAAATTTACCATCACCAGCTTCATCTAAAGCTTTGCCAATCAAATCAGCTGCACGAGCATCACCTTCTCCTGCAATAACATTTGCTTGACGACTTTGTTCCATCCGATTTTTTTTTATCAAAAAAAACTAACCCATATAAATTTTATTCTTATTGATTTACTTTTTCGACTAAAAATCGTTGTTTTCCAACATCTTGTTGTGCAACTAGTTTTAATTCAACAGCACTTGTAAATTCAAATCTAAAACTTAAATGTGTCTAATTTAAAGAAAAAAAACAATATAATCAACTCGAGACTATTTTTTGTGGTATCTTACACTTGAAATATCATCAAGTAATAAACCAAATTGAGCAGCACGTTCTATTAATAATTCACTAATACATTGAGAAATAAGTGTACGTTATGTAATCAATTCAATAGCATCAAATTGAGACTTAGTACAACAGATTTTAAAACTTCATTAATAATCAATGATAAAACACGTTCTTCATAATCTAAACCCAAGTTTGTAAAAAATTTTTGGTAAAAGTTCAGCTCTTGGTCGATAAAGAATACGTAATGTTACATTAATTGTTTGTAAATCTAAAATAAAAATAATAAAATGTAATTTATGCATATTTCATTTATACGAAGAAAAAATAACGGAGACTTCTCGTTTTAAGTTTTATAAAGTATCTTAAGATTGGTGAATGATGAGAGTGTAGAGGTGTAAACCGATCAGTTGACTTACCTTCTTTTTTTTGCGAGCTTACATTTTCCTCATGTTCACCTCTCTCCTGCAGTTGAGTGTTTTCTTCTAGCTTTTATACCTTTTATTTCTGTTATTGATGGAACAGATCGTGGTCGTGTACGAATATCAAATATAATTGGTCTATGAAGCCATGAAATCATAAAATGAGTTCCTTCTTCAATAACATCTAGTTTAACACCTTGAAAACGATAAAAAATAACAGTTCGATGACCACCATCAACTAGAATATATTTAAATTTAAAGAAAACAAGTTTTTTTTAACCTTTTCATATTTATCATTATAAAGCATACAATTAATCACATCATCAACAATAGCTAAACCAATACCAATTCTTCGTAAAACACTAAATTCTTCTATCGAAATAAAATATTATCTCACTATCTTACCAATGTTATTAAATAAACAAGATGAATTTATTAGCAATTCCCAGGTCGAGCGTTACGAACTCCGTAAACGATCGTTTACGGCCGTTTACGACGTCGTACACGACCGTATACATACCATATACGCTCCGTATACGACCGTATTTCACCGTATTACATGGGCCAGTATTACGATCGTATATCTCCGTGGCCGTATACGGAGAAAAACGGAGGTCGTATACGGAGCATTTACGCCCGTAAACGACCGTATTTTTTTCGTAAACGGCCGTAAACGATCGTGTTTTGCCGTGCGTGGGAAAAATATTGACCTTTTTACCTTTAATTACACGCACATCAGTGATATTATCACTAGGCCATATACCTACCTATCTATACCTACGTACCTACCTATCTACCTATCTATCTATCTATCTATCTATCTATCTATCTACCTATCTACCTAACTATTTACTTAACTATCTTTTTACCTACTTATCTGTCTACCTAACTATTTACTTAACTATCTATTTACCTACCTATCTGTCTATCTATCTACCTATCTATCTATCGACCTATTCACCTATCTATCTATCGACCTATTCACCTATCTATCTATCTATCTACCTAACTATTTACCTAACTATCTATCTACCTAACTATCTATCTACCTAACTATTTACGTAACTATCTATCTATCGAACTATCTATGTATTTCTCAATCTATCTGTCTAAAGGTTGATCCAAAAGTTTTGGTACCTCACAGAAAAATTCCCTTCTCTCTCTTATAAAAAATGAAAAAAAGCTCAAAATTGAACTAATAGTCAAGCAATATCAGAAGAGTATCACTCTAAATGTTCACAATTAAAGCTCAAGTTGTCGTGAAGACATAACTTCAAACTAAAATATTTTTTTCGTACCATCTAATCAAGTAACCGGTGTCCATGATAAACGGTTGTATTTTCTATCTTTTTTTCTCAATTTCTAATATGTTTCTTGAAAAAAAATATATGAGAAGATGGAGCGTCGAAAGATCTACAATCTACAATAGAAAGCTTATTTTATATATGGTCTTTTAGTGTTCAAAATCGATGAGAATGATAAAAAGAGAAAATAAAGAAAAAAAGAATTTATCATGTATAAAAAATAACTTTTTCGCAACATCAGAATTCACTCACTTCGAAATCTGCTGATTTTGAAAACTAAAAGACCATATATAAAATAAGCTTTCTATTATAGATTATAGATCTTTTGATGCTCCATCTTCTAATATTTTTTTTTCAACAAACATATTAGAAACTGAGAAAAAACGATACAAAATACGACTGTTTATCATGGGCACCGGCTACTTAATTAGATGATGCGAAAAAAAAATCATTTAGTTTGAAGTTATATATCTTCACTATAACTTAAGCTATAGTTGTGAACATTTATATTGATACTCATTAGGTACTGCTTGACTATCAGTCCAATTTTGACCCTTTTTATTTGTTATGAGAGAGAAAAGAAATTTTTCTATGAGATACCAAAACTTTTAGACAAACCTTTATCTATCTATTTAAATGTTATTGGGAGCAGAATTCTAGTGGTGATTTTACTGAGATTTGTCATGGACTTCATATCTTCTTTAGCTTCAACATAACAATACAAAATACGCAAAGTGAATAATATCTAACAGATAATAGTTGCTTTTCAAGAATGATCGATCCTTAGAGAATCGATCTGTCTTATTTATTTCTGCGTTTCTAACAGAATTTTTTTCTTTGATTTTTTTTACTGGTGCTTCATTATTTATTTGCGTTGTTGTCATTCGCTTGTGATTTATTTTTTTTTATTTCGTTTTTCCTAATTTACTATTATTATTACTATTATTATTGTTCTTGCTCTAACCAATGATTTATTTAAGAAATTAGCCGGTTGTACATCTTCATTGTATCTGCGGCAGGTCTCAACGCACTACTATGGACCTTGATAAACTCATAAAATACTGGTTTCGATGGTTCTCTCAAGTTAGAATTTGATCAATTAATACTTTTTGTGTTGCTCATATGTCGATCGTAGTAAATCAATACATCACCAGTCATCATTCATCTTTGATATGTATTATATACTCGTTAATTTGAGCAAAAATCAGAAACTGTGCTATATATAACATTCAAAAACATAGTCCAGCCATTTAAATTTCAAGAAAAGCTTTGAAATGTTCTAGAACAATCTGAGTCGTGTTTGTTAACACCGTTCAGTACTCTTTTCCGTTGCTAAGGAATCATGGGAAAGGAGTCTAATGCTTGTTAGATGTCGGTTACTATGGCAGAATTTGCGTCCAGCGCTCTTTAACCTTCGACCACGGCTGCTAAGGCCTGTAATGAGGGAAGATGCGCCTGAAAATCTCGCATTTAAACTTATACTCACTATTTTTCTTCGAAAAATATGTGTGAGTTGCACAAAACGTGTTGTTCATTGAATTGTACGCTTGTGGTAGCCGTATACGACCAGATACGATCGCGCACGGTGATATACGACCGTATACGGCAGGCGTATAGCTCCGTATACGGAGTACACATGTTTATCTTTTAATCATTCCGTATTTTTATACGATCTCCGTTTACGGAATCTGTTTCTCGCCGTATCGCTCCGTATACGCGCATCGTATGCGGAAGCCGTGCACGGCCTCCGTATATCTCCGTTTTTCTCCGTAAACGACCGTTTACGAGCGTGCACGTTCGACCTGGGAAATAGTTCCAGAAACAAAACGAAACCATATGAAAATTCTTCATATTTCTATCGATAGAAAAAGAAAATGCATCACTATTTAATCTATCTATCTACTACAATAACAAACCAATGTAATATATACATAGAAAAAGATTAAATAACAATAAACTTTGAAAGCAAAAAAAAAATACATGCATACTTTTAAATAAATCGAAATCCACTTGAAAAAATGTGAGCACCGTTCAGATATTGTTCACTATTGGGTTTTAATGAATTTGATGTATCACTGTTCTTTGCTACTGCAGCAGCAATTGCTTCGAATGCTGGAATAGTCTATAAAGAAATTATTTATATCATAGAAAAAAAAAAATGTTTTTCAATTACTATAATTTGATTTTGTTGGAAAAAATTGTTGTGGAAACGATACACCATCAACACGAAAATCTTCAAGATTTTTATAGTTTTTTAAAATTTCTTCAAGTTTTGGATTGATTTTTGGTTTTTGTCGAGAATATTTTAAAAATGTCCAGAATTTTTCTAAGCCATATAATTGACCTAAATAGAAAAATTATTTTTGTTATTGACACTTTTCTTTTTATTTTTGTGTAATCTATTTTATTACCAGCTTCATGATCACAAAGGGTTTCTTGTTGAAAATCTTCAAATACATGTTGACGAAAATGTTTTTCTAGATCATATGTATAAAATCGAAATAGACATTTAACACGATATCTATACATAAATAGTAATATTCAATTTTTTTACTTATTATTTTTCATAAGAAAAATGACTAAAAACGATAGAGTGTATCCATTTCCATTGATTGACCAGAACCAAGTTTAACGCTTTCTAGAAATTAGATCATTACAGAAAACAAAATGTATCTTATTTGTAAATCAACATAACTGTCGATTACAAATATTTTCTATGAAATAATAAAGTTTGACGATTAGTGAAACTTAGTGTTTTTAATCATTGACGATTATTTTATTGCTTTTCGAATTTATCATGTAGATAAGAATGATAGTATTTATTAAAAAAACTCCATAAAAGAGTAAAATCTTTGTTTTTTTTGAAAATTATAGCAACAGACATATTCTCTATTAGCTATTTAAATCAGAATATAAGTATTTTTAGACTCTGATTTTTACTGGAGAGTAGTTTCCACTGTTGTTTTTAGATACGTTGACTGTTCTTTATTCATTAAGAGACTCGTTTTCTTTACGTTCAATGTAACATAATTTCAATTTTTTTTTATCAGTAGCTTGTTTCTCTCGAAATATTGTAAATATGTACTGAACTAATAATCTTTTTTTTCTCTACAATCAACGTTGTCTTTTTTACCATCAAGACATTCTTGTTTATATTTAAGATAAACTTGTTGAGTAAAACCATTTTGTTTTAAAAGTGTATGAGATGAATGTTGAACCATAAAAATCATATGAATTTGAATTATTTCCATGCCAATAATGTGAATCACTGTATGATGATAAATATTGATCATAGAGATCTTGTTGTCGAGTTCTAAATAAGTAAAACTCATTTTATACTAATAATAATTGACATTCAATTGTTTGTATTAGGAACAAAAAATAAAAGAAAATTCGTCAAAAAAACATGAAGCAACACAAGTTATTTTTTACTATATCCATTTACCTTATCCGTATTGAACGATAAGAAAAATGATCTTATTAAGTGTAATAAGTAAAGTGAAAGCAAAACGTTTAGAAACGCAGTATTTTTGACTTGTTTTCTTAACGATAATAATTACTATCCATTTCAAACTATATTGTGCCCCGTTGTTTTTTAAAACAAATAGTTAATGTATAAATGATAATGATTCTATCATCTTCGGCCCACACCCTATATATATATATATAAGATGAAATTTTTTTTCGTCGACGACATGATATTGATGTACGCCAGACGAGAAAAAAAAGTTGAAAAAATATACACATATATCACTATATAAAAATTGCTCATCAAATCAATTATGTAGTATTATGTGTTGAACACATCAATTAATATATACGTAGAACATCAAATCATGTATGTTCAACGATTGATAAAAAATCAGTCGAAATTTTAAACGTCGAACAATTAACCTCAGAGTATATAAAAACATGCATACATCATTATGAAACAGTATACACTCGAGTTGTATTATTATAATGCATTACAATGTATTTATATACCCGGGATTATTATTTATTATTACTATTATATTATTTACAATGATAATTATATTATTAAATTCTATATGAGGTAAATAATAAATTCATTATATATTTAATAATACGTTTTTTTCTTTTTTTTTAGATGAGTTTCGATATTATACAATATTGAGAAGTAAGAAAAAAAAAATTTTTACATATTCAGTTGAGTTGAGTTGAGATGAGATAAGTTATTTTGAGAAAAAGTGAATACTATCTGTTATTATGAGTATGAGTATGAGTTTATTTGAGATGAGTTGAGTTATGAATGTTATTAGTGTGGGTCAGAGAACTACGTTGTCTGATTCAATAGGTAGAGAAACTTTGCCATAGCGAAGCAATGTAGTACTAGGGAAGGCCTCTATGTGTCGTTGGTCCCTACCGTTCATACGGCATACCTTCGGCCATTGCCCTACCAGTCCGGCGTGGTCCGCCTGTGGTATCTATGGCATTGACAAGGGATCTCTCCCTTGTCGCGCGCGCGCGAATAAGCCAAAATGAACCGAGAAAAATCGAAACGATTAGCAATGTGAATAAATTTATTGAGCAAGCGAAAAGAAAAAATTACAGTTACATTTTCTTTTTTACGTCCTGAAGACGTTGTCTATACAATTGTAAGTGCGGATGATTTGAGGGTAATGAAATTTGTGCGGTATCAACAGCACGTTGATAAAACTGACTGGCCTTCGAGTATTCTCCCATGTTTTCATATGCAAGGCCAATATCATGCTTTGAAATAGCCAAATGAGGATGATTCGGAGGCAGAGCTTTTTCGTAGATTTTATGTGCTTTTTCGTAAAATTCAAGTGCTTTCGAGTAATCACCCATGTTGTTACACACTTGGCCGATGTTGTTGTAGGAAATAGCCAATTTGGGATGATTCGGAGGCAGAGCTTTTTCTAGGATTTTATGTGATTTTTCGTAAAATTCAAGTGCTTTCGAGTAGTTACCCATGTTGTTATACACTTGACCGATGCAAGTATAGGAAGTAGCCAAATTGGGATGATTCGGAGGCAGAGCTTTTTCGTAGATTTGATGTGATTTTTCGTAAAATTCAAGTGCTTTCGAGTAGTCACCCATTTTTTTATACACTTGACCGATGTTGTTGTAGGAAGTAGCCAATGAGGGATGATTCAGAGGCAGAGCTTTTTCGATGATTTTATGTGATTTTTCGTAAAATTCAAGTGCTTTCGAGTAGTCACCCATGGTGTCATACACTTGACCGATGTTGCCGTAGGAAGTAGCCAAATCGGGATGATTCGGAGGCAGAGCTTTTTCTCTTATTTTATGTGCTTTTTCGTAAAATTCAAGTGCTTTCGAGTAGTCACCCATGTTGTTATACACTTGACCGATATTGTTGTAGGAAATAGCCAATGAGGGATGATTCGAAGGCAGAGCATTTTCGCCGATTTTATGTGCTTTTTCGTGAAATTCAAGTGCTTTCGAGTAGTCACCCATGTTGTTATACACTAGAGCAATGTTGTTGTATGTAGGAGCCAATGAAGGATGATCTTCTGGAAGAGTTTTTCGTTCAATTTTGAGAAACATTTCATAAAATGAAACTGCTTCTTTGTACTGTCCTTGATCTTTTTTCACCCATCCGAGCTGGTGATAGATATATGCTTTATCACTGTCGTCGGATGCCTGTTCTAGTAGTGCCATGTACAATTCTTCAGCCTTGTCAAATTGACCAATTGTGAGTAGCAATTCACCCAGTCGATACCATCCAGTGCCGTCGACCTCTTCTCGTATACGGTCGGTTAATTGACGAAGCTGTTGGTCGTCATCCGACGTAAGTTTGAGTTCTACTTCATAAAGTGGACTTTTCTTATCAATTTTTCGAACTTCACCGATTCGAAAGACGGTGTGCATCGAGAAGAGAATTTCCTCTTCTTTTGCGAAATCACTAACCTCCTTGATGGAGGCAAAAGGAGTCGATGAGACCATGGGATCGATGGTCATTTGAAAGAGAACGCCAATCATTCCTTCTGTTCCTAAGGCATCTCTGGCGAAGCCGAGGGAAATATCACGATCTACACTGGTGGATAAAAAATTATTGAATGAAATGAGTCCACCTTTGCTTTTGACGAGTTTTTCGTGATCTACCTTTGGTAATCCCTGCCCGCGATAAACAAGAAATATCTTACCATGATATTGACTAACTTGCTTGGTGTGTAAACTTTCAATTTGTCGATGAATATCACATAGATAAAATCCCATTCGGATGATAATATCACCGTCGAGTGTTCGTAATGCTCGATTGAGCATTTTGTATGTAAAACATTGGCGGGTATACCACCAAATGGCTTTTGATGGACGATAAGTACGTTCAAATTCTTTGATTAATTTGAGTTCCTTGGTATTGCCTTGGTATTGTTCTTGGCAAAAAATAACTAAATCTTTTATGGCTTCTTGGCCATGTTCCATATCAAGGAGTATTTCCTTGAATATTTGGGTATACATGAAGGAAGGCTCTAGCTGATTGAGATTTTCGCTAGAACCTCCTTCATGCACACTAATAATACTAACTGTTACTTGATCTTGATTGCATTGTTTGACAGCTAGTGCCAATTTTTCACAGATGTGCTTGATTGATGTATGCACACCTTTAATTTTGGGCCAATTTTTAGCCCATTCTTGGTGGCGTTGCTTGTTGCCACAAAAAATGTATATGGCATCCAGTTTTGGCATGCCATGAATTTCTGGTACCAGGTGTTGTCCTAATGCACCTGAGGAGATGACAAATGATGGCTCCTCATTGTTTTCCTGAAGTTTCTTGATACATTGGTCGACCGTGGTGCATGGATTGACTTCATTAACAACACTGCGCAATTGCGCGAGTGTATTCTGGCAATCTTCATTTGCCATGTTGATATTGCTGTCGACCCAAATGACCAGGTAATTTTCAGCCATTCGTAGTCGTCGTTGTCTGTTCATTTTCGATGTTGTTTTTGACGTTTGTTCGACGATTGAATATTGTGAAGGATCAATTGTTGTTTGGATAGAGACCACTGTTTTCTATTTATATATTCGATATTGGATGTTTTTTTCTAGATTATTCTATGACGTCAAATATGGGTGCGTATTTTTTTTGTTGACACTCAAAGATAAACCCCACCTACTTTCAATTGAAAATATGCTTGTCAAAAGCAAACGAAAGAAAAAAATCCAACAACATAATTTATTTTTATGGTTATTCTTTCCAATTTTAGTTTGCTCTTTTTTTGTATTAACTTTTATTGTCCCCATAAAATGAGATTGACAATAGAAGATAAGAAAAAATTAAGCATTAGGAAATATAATGAGAAGAATGGGATAGCAAGAAGAACGATACAAACACAATAAGTAGAGGTATCATCATCATAAATTTATAGGCAAGTGCGATCTTATGTTGGAATGTGTGTGCCTAGGTAGATGGGTTTCCGAATGTGAGTATGGGTGGATGTGGCTGTGGGCGGATGCAGCTGAGGGTGTATGGTATGGATTGGTGCTGGTGGATGCGGTTGTGTCTGCAGTTCCGGGTGGGGACCGATGTGGGTTGGTACAGCTGTAATTGTGAGTAGTGGATGACTTTGAGGGAGTGTGACTGTAATTGTGAGAGCGGAAGCGAGTGACATGAACGTCGTTGTGGGTGTCGATGTAGGCGCGGATATGGGTGTAGGTGTGGGTGTGAGTCTTCTCTTCAGCAAGCACGCCAACGTCCACCCACCCACAGTCACACACTCATGCTTTCATTCTTCAAGTTAAAAACCTTGTCGATCATGTGAAGCAGTAAAGTTAATGGTTAAAGTTGGCGTGAATGATGTCAGGCCTCTTCACGCCCTCATGTCAAGATAGATAGATAGCGTCTCCTTGTAACTTGTATTTTGAAAATTTCCAATCCCTTCGAACCAGCCATTGATTTTACTTTTTATCTTATTTCGAGGAGTACTCTTGTACGACTCACTTCATTCTAGCTCTTTGATCATTAGTAAGTCGACTACAGACTAGAATTCTACAAGGTTAACATCAAAGTTACTGAAGAAAGAAGTTTTCCAACGGATGCATGCCGTTTTTGTTGATATTTTGCCCATATATATAGTTTGATGACACTAGAAAAAGCCTAAAAAGATAACGGCGCATAAGCTTTCCTTCTCGAATGATGATCATTTTACTTGGTTTACCACCTATGGCAAGGGATTCAGTGAAAAATCAGCTTTCATGCACATGCAGGTCTTATGACCTATATGCTAGGCTTAAGGTTGCAGTCAAAACAAATGCTTCTGTCGTAAAATATTGATTTTTCTATAGAAGTCGATTTTCCTGACATGTATGTAGCATGGCGAGAAAGAGACGTTTGTTTTGACTGGAACTTTTAGGCTAATATATAGGCCATGAGACTTGCATGTGGACAAAATCTCAGATCGAAATTTCTCAATTTGATTTTTTGCTGAATCCCATGTCCTAGGTGGTACACCAAGTAAAATGATCATAACTTGAGAAGGAAAGCCTATGGGCTGCTATCCTTTTAAGTTTTTTTCTAATCTCATCAAACCCTACATATAGGCAAAATATCAACAAAAACGGTATGGATTAGTTGGAGACTTTTCCATGAGAATCTTGTACCATTACGCGCTCTTCGCAAAGATTCGCATAGGTTTGAGAAATAACCTTTTCAAAAGTTTTATTTTTGTGTTGTTTGATCACCAATTAGTTAAGAAGTCTACAATGAAAATATTATGTATTCAAACAGGCTCGATAAAACATTATGAACCCTTGTTTTGTTTTTTAACAATGATACAGTATGCCGTTTGTGTCGCAGGAGTTAATCGCGGAAAAAGAGAAAAAAGTTGGCTGGGCACATGCTTTTATTCTTCTTTCGCGGAAAGTCGATGACTTTGCACACAACATACTTGAATAGCAGTCTTCATTTGCATAATAAATATTTGATAAGAAAATAAAGAACGGAGCACTTTGTTAGTTGTCATCAGTGGGTTTTATCCAACTTACAAGTAGAACAACACAAGGTCAATACACAGGTGAAGTAACGCTGAATCAGCAAGCGTTGATGTCTGTTACAGTGGGAAGCCAGGCGGATATGTGCGAAAATATTCTTTTATAGAATCTAGCGACTTGCGTAGATACATGCATATGTGATCTATCATTTCCTAAAATAGTGGTTTCAAAGTTTTATAAAGCCCAAGAAAAGAGCTCGCTAAGGCTTGCGCCCCAGAAATCAGCATAAATAAAGAAAATCAAGCTGCTAGGCAATATGAAATAATATCACAAAAAGCTTCCTCATGGGTAGACCTTATGTTTAAAAAAAAGTGATCCAAATTTAATTTAAAATAGAGTAGAAGAGAAAGGATCTCGAGATCCAAAACCTATCTAAAAACGTATCGTTCCATATATTGTAAGCACTACAAAGAGAAAACGTCGAATCGAGCGCGCATTTTTACCAGAAGTTCTTACATATGTAACTTGCTTATGATAGTGGCGCAAACTTATGAAACCTTTCCTAAGCTATTTTACAGTAGGAAATCTGATTTTTGGCACTGATGTTACTCTTTAAAGGAAAACTATGGTGATATTCGGAATGGATGCATAACACTACTTCGAGTGATTTTTAGCTCAACATATTTTTCAAAACAAATTGTTTTCGGAAAATTATGGCTGAGGTACTACTCTCCAGCCAGATTTTTTCGTAAATTTTTTTCTTAAAAACTTTCTGTTTTCTTAAAGATGATTCTCTGAATGATGTATGGTTATTTCTAAGCAGATGAAAGCCATTTCTGAACAAAAAAATCGTATGGAAAGCTCTGTCCTGCAGCGGCAACTGTAAGTAGGTGTATCATAGATTCAGCTCAGTTCGCTGAGCTAGAACTAGTCAGCCAGCTTTGTTCACATGAGCCGGGTCTGTTACACACCTAATGACCAATCGGTCTTTAACTACAGAAATCCTCAAACTTTACCCAAATTTTCAAACATTTTCTCCACCGCATATACTACTTGTGTATCGAAGACATTTTATCACGCGACTCAATTACCTTCAGCTAACAAAAAAGCTTACTCTTACTTGATAAAGCAAAACTCAAGTACACGTTTCTTATGTTACTCATAAACCCAATATTTCCTAACGCATTCAACAATGACCCTAATAGCCCTCAAAACTTTACAGATGTCTACTGCAAACTATGCTTACCCTAACTAACCTCTGTTGCAAAAGTCTTTAGACAAAATGTTTATTCATTTTTCAGCCGTCTAAACGTCATTAGTGAGAATCAAAAGTAGTTAGCTAAAATCAGATTTTTGTGCTCTTTTCGAATATCTGATCAGAATATTTCATTGACTCAATATTGATTAGGGATAAGCCAAATGTTTGACAGAGTCGGAAATGATGTTTGTACAGAATTTTATTGGATGTATTTTTGTGTTTTCATCGATATCCACTCTACGCAAAACATGAAAGATATTTTCATCAGCCAATTTTATAGCGCGAAGTTTGCTCTACAAACTATGCTATTTAGTTTGGTTTTCCATCTCGAAACAAATACATGCAATCTGTTGTATTATAAATAGAAGATCTTGGAAAACTGACTGTTTGGTAGGATTTTATTTTACGTACCAATCAGTTCTCAGAAAAACATCTACAACCTTTTATTCATTTGAGTTGAAGCCTATTGTCATATATGGTTTTATAGAGAATTGAATGCTCTACAAATTGCCAATTTCGAACTGCTTCAAGATCCAACTTACATAAGTAATGAATAGCGGGAAAACATGTGTTTTCTTCGTCGAGATGTCATTCTTCGCCTCTTTCAAGTATTAACTTACAGCTAACCAATCTTAAGCCAAAGAGATATTCTGAACACATATCAGAGAAGAGCAAATAAGACTGACTATAAGGAGCTGCTTTTGGTTCGTATCAAATACTATTAGCGGCTGAAAGATGAACAAACATTTGCAGAATGACTTTTTGTACAGACATCATTTTCCACTCTGTCAAACATTTGGCCCATTTCTAATCAATGTAAAGTCAGAGAAATATTCTGATCAGATATTCGGAAAGAACACAAAAATCTGATTTTAGCTAACTACTTTTGATTCTCACTAATGACGTTTAGGCGACTGAAAAATGAATAAACATTTTGTCTAAAGACTTTTGCAACAGGGGTTATTAGCCGCCTTAATTAGTGCTGATTAATTGAGTGCTCTCTCTAATTAGTTCTAATTAGTTGGGTACTAATTAATTAACTAACTTACAATCACATAATGTGCTCATAGCCTATGGCTGCAATTGATAGAATCCTACTATGTGCTGTTAGGTATAAAAATGGACTGGAGTGAAGTGAGCTTGAAATTTAGAATTTACGCACTGTGAGGCTCACTTGGTCGACCACATTTATATATATATAGGAGTATCATTAGAAATATGGCTCTGACATTCTACTCGATGTAGTTATGCTTACTGAATGAACTTATAGATTAAATCGTGAATGAAAAATGATTAACATCAAGAAACAATGAAAACACGTTATAATCAGCATAAAAAATACGTCGTGATGAACTTCCCAGGTCCACCAATCCGACAATCGGATCCTATACAATCCTGTAAGATCCGATCGGATCCGATCAGATCCCAGAGGATCCTATCGGAATCTCAACGGATTCCGTGAAACGAAAACGCATACGAATCCTGTCGGATTCCAGATCCGATAGGATCCCACTATCGGCGGCCGATAAAATCCTACGGGACGGAACCGCTCGGATCCCACTATCGGCGTCCGACAAAATCCGATCGGACCGAACCGATAGGATCCTACAGTCGGAAACCGATAGGATCCTACAATTTCCAAAGCGAATCCGACGGAAGTAGAACATTGTTCTTTCAAACAGAAAAAAAAGCTAAACTCCTACAATTTTCGACGAAATCCGACGGATGCATATCTTTGTATTCAACCATGTAGATATAAAAAATATAAAATTTACAGCCCAATGATGGCTATTCCTTCTTGTCTGAGAGAAAAATGAAATCCTACAATTTCCGATGAAATCCGACGGATGTACAACTTTGTATTTAAACATTCACATATAAAAAATATAAAATATACAGCCCAAGGATTGCTATTCCTTCTTGTTTGACAGAAAAATGAAATCCTACAATTTCCGATGAAATCCGACGGATGCACACCTTCGTATTTAAACATTTAGATATAAAATATATAAGATTTACAGCCCAAGGATTAGGGGTGGCACTTTAACTTTAAAAACACTTTAAACTTTAATTAAAGTGAAAAATTTTACAACTTTAAACTTTAATTAAAGTTTAAAGTAAAATACTTTAAAACTTTAAAGTTTAATTAAAGTAAAAATTTTAGCACTTTAACTTTAACTAAAGTTTAAAGTTTTAAAGTATTTTACTTTAAACTTTAATTAAAGTTTAAAGTTGTAAAATTTTTCACTTTAATTAAAGTTTAAAGTTTAAAGTGTTTTACTTTAACTTTAAAGTTTAAAGTTTAAAGTGCCACTTTAACTTTTAAAGTAAAGTTAAAGTGCCACCCCTAGCGATGACTGTGATTAATCTCTATCAAAATAAGGTAAAATTGTATCTGAATTCTGATTGGCTATTGCCCAGCCAATCAGAAGTGAATCCGACATTTTCCGACAAAATCTGACGGAAGTGTAATTTTCCACATTACACGGTTTCCGACATACTCCGGCTGCCGGAATACCTATCAGTTCCCACAGTCGGATATGATCGGAATTCCATTAGGATCCGACCGTCGGATCCGTTAGCGATTCCGTTACACGGAATCCTGTCGGATTTTGTCGGCTGGTCGGATCCTATGAGATCCGATCGGATCCGCTATCGGATTGGTGGACCTGGGTTTGTTAAAAAAAGTTAATTGAGCCAGCCATGATTTTTCTTAGATATTTTCACATAGAAGATGGAGTTTTTTACGGGCTATCTTCTGATATCATAAAATTCCTGAGGAACCCCATTTTTCAGTTCAAAGATGAAAATACTTTTAAAAAAACGCAAAAAAAAACATGGTAGGAAAAACCATACATATTTTCATTAAAAAATTATCGTATTAACCCTTTTTTCCTATAAAATGATGCTTGTGTGAAGTCGACAGAAAATGAGATGCTCTTCCTTTTGACAAAAGTCAACACTATATTAATTCGTAGAATAACGCTTTAGTTTTACAATGTATTAAAAAGTACCAAAAATAAAAATTATCATTTTGCATTATAACTCTATAAGACCTGTTACCATGACATACATCATAATTCAATGAATCATTATCAGATCGAGTTAATATTTCGGATTTAGTAATATCTATATGCGACCTTTATTTTAAGATAATTAAATCCAAAATCCAAAATTCTACTCCACCCATATTGTCTGGTATTCTAGTAGACCCTCTGCTAATACTCATAAAGTAAATTAGAAAAAGAAATAAAAAGGTAATCATTTGAATAGACTGTACCGTACAATTTGCATGATCTATTTTTTGTCTTAAGTTTCACTTCATACCATATGAGGTTCAATGTCCTAGTAGAGTGATCTACGTTTGCAGTCAAACACCGTCAGAATTTAGAGAAGTATGGCATTGTATCTAAGTTTCTTACATCGAACCTAAACTATTTGTATTATTCAACCAATAATTCCGATTCCAATGTAGATAAGAATTTCGATGCTGTTGCTGAATATATCCGATGGATCGGCTAATGGGAAAATAAGTTGAAACCAAGAGATATTCTCAATAGAAGAAAACGATTTCAATGAAATGAAGAAAAGAGAAAAAAAGACAAACTTCTTCACGAGCTACTTTCATATCATCTTTTACATTAGTAAAAATAGTAGGTCGAATAAAATAACCTTTATTACCAACTTTTTTACCCGATCGAATACATTCAAGAATTGTTTCTAATTGAGTATGACTGTTTTGTAGAATACACAAAAGAAATCAATGTTAATCTGTCGTCTTATCAAATTGTTTTCTGAATCCTCAATCAATATGTTTTTTCCATAGTTTAGATTATGGCACTTTGCTTGAAATGCTTTCCTATACGTATGGTCCTTGTTCAGTTGTAGAATCAAATGGATCACCAACAATACGTTTCTTTGCTAATTCGACACTTTTAGACACAAAGGCATCGTGAAGTATGGAATGAACACATATTCTTGATGCAGCAAAACATACTTGACCTGCATGAGTGAAAACTGCTCTTTGAGCAGTTCGAACAGTAACATCGACTAAAACATGCAAAAACAAATTAATCCTATCATTTATAAACCTTTTTCATCATTAGGAAGCACAATGAAAATGAAAGTAATAGAATTATTTAATACATACGATCAGTATCTTTACAAATGATAAATGATGATTTACCACCTATATGTGATGCATAAGGCAACAAAGCAGACAGGTAAGAAAGATTATTTTACTAACTAAGTTCCAATGAAACACGCTTTAGATTAGTTTTTCCTGCAGTTTCTTGAATCTTTCTTCCAATCTAAAACAAAATATCATGTGCGTTTGTTATTTTGTCTTTCATCTGCACTAATCTTGCCTAGAATGAACCTGTAAAAGCTATTTTATTAATCTTTTCATGAATGACCACAGTTAGGTCCATGACTTACATATGTATATCGTTATAAGAGTTGTTTTCATTCTGGTGATGTGTATTACCTAATACACTGTTAATAATACCTGGTGGAAAACCAGCCTAGAATATTGATTTAGCATTAGAATAAACTTCGATTGTTCATAGATGTTGAATAACACTTCTTTGATGGCAGAAGGATAAAAGAGTGCAGTAGGTGGTGTTTGTTCAGCTGGTTTGAGAATAACTACATTGACTATGTGTTATTACAATATATAAGAAAGTGTAAATTAATAGAAGTAATGAAGTTACCACAAACTAATGCTGATCCAAATTTCAAGGCCAACATAATAGTCTAAAATATAATGACAACAATACTTTTGTATGATGCATATGTAAGAAAGAATATCGTACTGAATAATCACTGAAAGAAGAAAGTACAATTTGAATATTCATTTATTGAATGTTTGAACTGACCATGAAATGATTTGTTCATAGATCCCAACTGATTCATGTCTAATATAGGTAATAAAAATACCTGATTCTGATGGAAGTGTTTCACCAGTGATTTTATCAGCCCATCCAGCATCTGTAACATGTGAATATCGTCGATAATAAAAAAAAAGAGAATGACAGAGAGGCTTACAATAATCAAGACAAACAGCTGCTCCAAGAATCTCGCAATAACTCTCTTGTAGCAGTTTTTCACTACTCAGTGTTTCTAATTTCTGAATATTCATTTATGATGTAGATGCAAACAGAGTGAACATTTTTACTGCTAAATAACCCACAACACGTAGAAGTAAATCAGCAAGTTTACAAATTAACTGAGCACGTGCAGCAGGATCAGACTTACGCCATGGTGAATCATATTGGAAACCATTTTCAGCAGCTTCAATTGCTTTATCAGGATCACTCTACAATATTGAAAACAATAAAAATTACACGTAGAACGAAAATAATCATGTATGTATATGTATATATATATTAATACTTTTGTGCCTTCTTCTACTTGACAAATTTCTTCATCTGTACTTGGATTAATGATAGAGAACGGATTCATTTTTGTCTACATGATTGACCTTGATTTATCACATAAGAAGAACAGAAAGAATGGACATATATTAGCTCGTTCCTTTATCTACTTATATTCATTGCTGTTTCAGTTGCAAATGATGTCTTCAATCTTAATGAATGATTCAACTTATGAAACCGATTTGGTTAAGAGAAAACAAAAATTTGATCAAGTAGCACACCTGAGTATTGTAACAAGTCTTCGTATCAATGTGGTATTTTTTAAAACTTGTCTTATCGATTGGACTTTGCGACAAGCGAAGAACAACTTTTTAATAATATATGTATTTGATATTGCACTTCACTATAGAACTATTTTACTAACAGGTGCAAATCAGATCGTTCTTCGTATATGCAAAATCATATTCTTTTGATGTGATTCTATTACTAAAGATCTTATCAGTTCGTTTAATGTGAAACACTCAATATAGGAAGGAAGGCTTCCAGAACGAAATTGCCACGATGGAAAGAAGGAATTTTTAGAATGGCGAAGATTTCAAGTGAATAGAACTGATTTTCATAACTATACGCTGGATTTCGAAAGTGTTGTAAATAACAGGCTAACGCATTCTCTTCACCAATATCATATATCTACTTACGTGATTTCAGTTAACAAATTAACATTTTTCACAAGAAAATTATTGTTACTATTCAAAACTGATGTTACTTAGATGATAGAGAACAGGAACAATCAAAAAATTTATTATATATGAAAACTTCTTTAGATTCACTATATATATATAATCAATAAGTATTGTTTTACGATAGCAGAAAAGAATCGATCATACTTTTCCTTCTTCAATAATCAATTTGTTTCTTTGTATTGTATTTTGTTTAAAGTCTTTTAAACAATAAAATTTTAAATGTTATTAATTATGTATCTTAAATTGAAACTAGATTATGATCATTCATACGAGTTATTACCGTAATTAGGAGTTGTTTCAACTGATTGTTCGTGGTATTCTATTCTTTGCGCTTAAATATTTTATTCAAATTAGTTGTACGTATTAGTGAGACTTTCGCAATACATGGAAGAGTTTAGAGAGCAAACTACATAAATGTTAGAAAGCTAAACAAGCAAATCCAAATAGCTGTTCTTCGTGAAAAATTTGTATTGTTTTTCCTCAAACAAGTTTAACAACAATTGTTTTTACTTGATAGTATGCTTCGAGATCATATCGACCTAATTCTCTTTCCTGACCTGATTGTTTAAAGCCACCAAATAGTGCTTGATTACATATAGCCTTATAAGTATTTATCCAAACAGGGCCAGGTCATATTTGGTGAGCCAACGTAAGACCACGTCTCACTGAAAAACTAGAATAATCATCAATAACCATTTCTTTCAAATTTACTGTCTCTAGTTATCACTCCAGCACCAAGTCCAAAAGTCGTGTCGTTTGCTCGTTTGATAATTTCTTCATATGAATCATACTTTAAGACTGACATTACTGGACTAAATATCTAAACTTTCACATTATTATAGAATCTAATCAAAAAAAAAATGTTATACCTCTTCACCGGTAATTTGCATATCATCTTTTACACCACTAAAAATAGTTGCTTTGATAAAATAATCTTTATTATCAACTCGTTCACTACCATGTTCTAATTTATCTTCAAACTTTTAACCTGATTCTATAAAATCCAAACTCTATTAAAATTGACTGTCATTTATCTATCATATACAAGTAAAGTGAACTATTCTTTAGATTAAAGAGGTTATTACTTGTGATCCTTGTTCAGTATTAGAATCAATTTGATTATTTGAAAGTCTTATAGAATACTCATCCTCATCCTCAGATGATCAAAGGAGATTTTCCACCGATATGTGAAAAGAGAATAGCACAGATGAAAATTATCCTGTATTTGTTACTGACCAAGTTCAAATGTAACACATTTAAGATTTAATTTAGTTGCTGCTTCTTGTATGTTCTTCCCAACCTTCAATCAAACATTTCACATTCATTTTTTTTTTAGTTTTATTAGTGAATATTCTTACTTCAACTGAACTAGTACAAGCTATTTTATCAATATGTGCATGAACAGCAATTGCATAACCACATTCAGGTATATCACCTAAATATTCTTATGAAATTATTATGGCAAATATCATTCACTTTACCTGGTATGATGTTGACAACACCTGGTGGAAAGTCAGTCTAGATCATCATGACAACAACAAAGTATGATCGACATAATAATATCTTACCTCTTCGATAAGAGCAGCACAATAAAGTGCACTAAGTGGTGTTTGTTCAGTTAGTTTCAGTACAATCAACTGAGAAAAATATTTCACCTTTAGTCTGTTCTACTAGTTTACCATTGTTAAGTGTTTCCACTTTTTACATATTGACTTATGTTGAGAGAAAGAAAGAGGATCTAAATTACGCCATGGTGATTCGATATCAAAAGCTGTTTGAGCAGCTTCAACTGTTTTATCAACATCAGCCTGAAAATCACAATAGATAATGAACCAATGAAGAACATATAGAGATTCATACTCTAATGCCTTCTTCTACTTGACAGATTTCTTCTCCTGTACTTGGATTGATGAGAGAAAATGTTTTTCCATTTGTTGCTTTATGTCATTCATTGTTGATAAAGAGTTGAGTATATTTAACTTTAACATTCGAAGCTATTCAATTAGCCGATGACATCTGAAAAATAAGAGAAAAGACTTGAACAAAAAAAAGGTGTTTTGGTCGACAACAGGTATGATAATGATAGTGTCATTGTCATTTATCTAAGCAAACATACACTTATATATCCCGCTTGCTCTCTCTCATACGTGCACAAACATATACCCACTTTTTGTTTGTTGTCTTATTTTCTTAGGACGAAAGAGAACAGACGCTAGATAAAAGAAAAAGTAGATTTTCTTCTTGCCAATATAAAAATGTAGGTTGCATCACCGACAGAACACAAACAAAATATAACGTACAAAAACCATGTTTTTGTCAACAAACAAAACGAGCAGTAGATAAACAGTTATGATTTTGAATAGAGAAAAAAATCTTAGAGAAACGCTGAAACTTTTCTGCTACCAAGTGGTCATTTTATCACATGATGATTTTTCCAATCAATCAGAACAAGATCTCATAGAGTTGATTAACATCAGTTGCCTCTCCATTTCTCCCAGTGATTGTCTAATCATCAGACCATTTGGTTACAAGACGTTTCTCAATATGAGAATCATACAACGATTTTTTATTTTCTATTGTCAGCCCGAAACATCAGATAGTTGTCGAGAAAATCCTAATCAATCTTTTATTTTTCGAAGTTGATTCAATGACTTTCCAAGGCTTATCTGATCAAGCACAAATTAAAATATTCATTGATATTTCTATTCGAATTTACTAGATAAAGATTCAATCTCCAACGACGAGTAATTTCCTATCTGAACTAAAGATAATCTTTTCCTTTTAGTTGATTTAATTTACGGTCTATCGACATATGAAGAGTTCTTCTTAGAAAAGTAAAAGTCTAGACTATCTGAATAAGATATTCAATGAACATAAATTACAAATTGAAGAGTCAAATAGTTTTTCCATTCTTCTTTAAAAAAAGACTTTATTTCAGTTATTTCTTCAATGAGTAAAAAGAAATCAATCTGTTCTGTTTATTGTTTTGATATTAATCAAATCAAATGCAATAACATTTGCTAGAAAAAAAAATTAACAAAATATCGAAATAATTCAGTCATCCAAGCAAAGTGAGAGGAAAAAAGATGTTTATATATGAGTGTCAAAAAGAGATTACTAGAAGAAACGAATGTTTATTATGAATTCAATTCTATTATTTCAATGAAAAATATATCGAACTAACTAACAATTTGATTTATCATTTGTTTTTGGTTGAAAATTTTCCTCACTTTTATGTTTTCACGAGAGGAAAACAAAGAAATAGCTACATTCAGAGAGTTATTTATTTTGCTATGCATTTTAGTTGATATTGCAACACCATTGTTTGATATCACTAATGGTATATTTATTATTTAATTTTCTACATCAATTTCGAAAGACTTCTAGCAAATGCTCCGTATTAGCCGATAAGAATTGTCTCAATGGTTATCGATGTTACACTGTCAAGGTCGTTCATTGTAGATACATTTTCTTAATAGTTGGTATGATGGGGTACAAACTTTTCTGCTGTTATTTTTCCCACGATAGCTAACTGTCCAACGGTACAAAATAAGACAAATTCCTGATGGAAATTGACTTTTGCTATCGAGTAAAATAAAAATGTTATTTTCTGTTTAAAATGTAAAATATTGAACGAACAAAAAAATCATTATTGACTCAGACAAACTTATTGCGAAAGCGAAAATTTATTAGTGATTTGTTTTTCGATAAATGATGTGCTTTTTCCTAAAACATGTTTCAATCAAGCGAAATGAAAATAAGCTACTTCTTTCGAAATCTCTTACTTAAATCTTGTGACGGACTGTAACAAAAATAAGAAGTATTTCCATTGGATATTTGAAATGATTCGATCATATTTCAGATTTTAACCTCGCACGAATTGCGCTCAAAAATTTTTTTGTCCGATTCGTGCCATTTTCACATAAAACGGCAATTCAATTTTATTTATCTTTTCATTTTTTAGTTGTAAAAGTAAAATGTTTACAAAAATACTTATTTCTATCTCTTATTCTGCCGAAAAAGGTTAGTTGTGCAGCAGAATATTACGATAATTGAGTATTAGAAAATGGCTCATACGATTCTCACATAGTGCTAATATATGATTAAATACACTTTTATCTTCTGTTCTCAAGTGTGAAACTCTCTAGTTTCTATCAAAACTGATTCGAAAAATATTCATTCTTCTTCTAAGTTGAAACGAAAAATAATTTTTCTCTCCAAAAGCTAATTTTTTGGAGAATGAACGATTGAAATCAATACATCTTATGTAGAAAAAATTTTGATTTTTTGTATAGATATTGATATAACATTAAGTTTTTTTCAAGACTTATTTGACATGATAAAATTTACAGGTAGTCAAAGCATTGGAGCTGGTGTATATTTTTTATATGCAAAATGTGCGAGACTAAAAACATTTTGACGTATCGAATATTTCAACATATAAACAAAAATGTTTCATCAATATGATCTATCGCAAACAATATGTTAGTGACGAATACCATTTGAACGAATTTCGATTGTCAGATAATTAAAATCAAAATATTCAATGACAAGCAAAGAATAGAAAAGCAAAAACAATGAGAAAATATATATTAATGATATATTTGAGAACGAATTAGAGTCCCACTGAAGCAGAATAAATATAAGATAAAAACAAATTTCCAACATACAAAAATTTCTTCGAAGACAATCTTTATATGATTGTATTTGTATTTTTCTTTTTATTGATAAGGAGATTATTACTATAAAATTTAAAACGCTATTCAGAAACTCAAGTGGTCTGAACTGGCTTTTCGCTCAATGAAATTAAAAATTATCATCTCGATAAAGATCGATTAGTTTTTCGTACTCAATTATAACTTATTATTCTCACAGATATCATTGAACTGTCGTATAAAACCTGAAACCATCTGATTTCACTCTCATATATGATGAAATATCTTTAGAGCAAAAACTTTGAGATGAGAAACGCGTCAGTGATGACGAACGAGAATAGAATTGAAATTGTGCAATTGACAGATAGTTCAATTGATCAATTAATAAAACTACATAATCGATTTAGGTCCAATCGATAGTGGATTTCACTTTCAAATTTTTCAAAATTGTTTCGTATGTGTAAATTTCGTATCGTTTCGAAGGCAATATCATGTGATAAGCCAGCTAATATAGAGAGATCTTGACGCGAAAGTGAACGTAAATGAGGCATATGTTCAATGAGAACGAGAAATGAAGTCGATATAAGATTGGTGTCGGTTTCTTCTATATTGAATACGAGTGATGTGTGACATTGATAAAACGTTAAATAATTGGATAAAATAATGACAAATCAACTTGATGGATATATTTATCAAAACAGAAACTGGACGATATGCATATTGGTGACCAATAAATATTCGGATATACGAGAACATTTGATGTAAAACGAGATACCGTAAAGATATTTTGAGAATACGGACCATCATTGGCAACAAATCAGCGTTTTTGTTCAAGTCAAAATAGTGAACAAAATGAATCAAGAATATTTTCTTTGGAAAAATCTGATAATGAACATGGAAGATGCAATCAAAAGCTGAATATAGTCAAATGTGAAACAAGTAATTCTCATTTTTGTCCATAAGTTCGAAATAATATAGATTAGATATTTTAGATAAAAATTGTTCTACATGGATCATGGTCTTTTTTTACCTTTATTTTAAAAAACAAAGAATATATATATATACAATTTTCAAATAGCTATACACACCATGAATGATTAGGATGAGCCATCCTAGATAGGGCAATACTGACATGTTATACGTTCGCTTTGGATAATTATCATAAGAAAGTTTGACATCAAGTGAATAAAGATTAGGAATTTGATTTAATATAAATGATAAGTCACAGCAAAAGAAACTTTGAAGAGTTAAATGACGTAGATGAGGCAATGAAACCAAAACGAGATTATGAGCATGGGGTAGTGGTAGTCGATTCAGTCAAGGAATTAATTTATATATAGCAGTGTATGTCTGTGTTTATTATCACTAATCGTAGTCATATCTAATGATTGAAGATGAATAAATTGTTCGAGTTTAAAATGAGAAAAGAATAGGTTTGATTGATTTGATGTATCATTGTCATGGGACAATATAATAGAAATGACTTGATGTGGTCATATATGTTGACAAAGAAGATCAAATTTCGATTTAAGAACAGAATGAAAGTTGAGTAAATAGTATTAAAAAATATCATGTGAGATAACTGATTTCTTATTGCTCGTTCATGATGTAATAATATAACACACTGCTTTTTTTTCTTGTTTCATTCTTTAGTCGATACTACTTGCAAACGTTGTTCTTTCAGATATGAAACATATGTCGAGATGCAAATGATTCATCGTGTATTCAATACTGGAAAGAATATAGAATGAGTATAAATTGATGATGAGCGAATGAGATTGACAAATCAAAAGTTTCGAATAAAATGAGCAAACATGTCTTTCAATGGTCATATATCTCTTCTGCATCTTTAGTCTTTACGTACTTTTCTTTTTAATTCAACTTTATAACACTAGAGAAGTTTTTTTCGATGAAATTGAAATATAGAAAAATTCCGATTATAAAATCAACTTTTTTTTCTCTAGGGAAAATAAATAAGCACAGAAGAAAAACCTACTTCGAACGTTATCTTGTTTGAGTTACCTTGCGATTGAACGATGAATAAGAAAATGATTAACGTTATTCTTTTTTTATACACAAGATATCTCGTCGTATTTCGGCGAAATGGACTAATTATTTCACTAAAGATGAACCATGGTTCATAGCTTATATTCATAGTAAAAACGTTAGAAAATAGGTTTTTTGAAGTGCCATTTCTACCTTCTGACTTTCATAAGCTATAAAAATACAATATGTTTATCCCCATGAACAAAAATGAAAAACAGCTATTTTTTCGGTGATTTCTTCATACTATTGTGAGGTGCATATGATGTGGAGAAATATCTTCATATGATTATTTTCTCTTTCCTATGTTGTTTTTGAGTGTTATCTATTCGTATGCAAAGATCTTCTGAACATTTTATGTATTATTCGATCCAAAATAAAAGGCAGTTTGCAATTTTAAAATAACTTTCAATAGGAACAAGATAGAGAGCTGCAGTTTTCTCCATTTGAAAGAGCGATACTTGGACCATCGATCTGTATAAAATTCATTAGGATGAAAGATGTTTGTTCATAGAGAATTATCGATTAAGTTTTTTTCTAGGTATACTTTTCCTCAATTTTCACAATAATCTGAACTCAAATGACCCGAAAATGTAGCTTAAGGACACTTTTTTCACTATAAAATATGTAAATGCCCTTGAGAATCCACTTCGTAAAAGAGATCGTGGATTAATCGAAAATGTGATGATTTTATAGTGAAAAAAGTGTGATAGGCAATCTTGTTTGAAAAACATCTTTCGTCCTCATGAGTTTTATACAGATCGATGGTCCATATGCAGTGATCGTTTGGAAAATAAAAACGAAGTTCATTTTCGGTTAGATAGATGGATTCATTCGTTAAGAGGAAACCAATTTAATTGAATCGTAACACAACTTAACGATTAGTTGGGAAATAAGGTAGGATATGAAGCTGGTAAGTCACGAATGGCGCCGACGAATGACTTGCCGTTTGTTTCTAAGATTAGTATGAGCCTTTCTTTCGCGAAGCTTTCTAGAGATTAGACAATAGTTTTCAGAAGAGCTCGACCAAGTAGATAGAATCTAGGATCGGTGAGTTACAAATGGCGCCCTCGGAAGACGCTGATGAGCGACTCGCCATTCATTTACGAGGTAGACACGTTTTTTCTTGCGTAAAGCTTTGAATGAAATATAGAATATTTTTCGAAAGAGCTGAGGCAATTGTTGTGGTGAAGACGACTAATTCAAAATCGTACCAATTTCTCATAAAAAGCCAGAGAAATGTAATCTATGATGAGAATATCGCCGCATGAATACTACATATTCCAAACTCAACATTATCAGTGTGGCTTTTTCCAAATTACAAAAGTTGAAAGACTTGTTCGTATGGTGTTGGCTATAGCATCACGCAAACTGACGATTTATCTGATAATATTTGTCAAAGCGAATAGAATGAATTCAGTCGAGGATGAAGCGAGCCGTAGCGACGAGCGTAACTTGTGGTTAAAATATCTCTCCCAAATCTCAAAGAAATGCACAAGTTCTAGTCAATTCATTACCCTTTACGCGGACAAGGATTTCACAATAAGGATACGAGCTAACAAGCCCGGGTGGTTTTCAAGTTATAGAGTGCCCTTAAGGCTAGGTTGTAATAGAACCCGATTTTTGAATTTCCCTTTGTTTGATTTTTTAAAAAATCTTTTTCTCAAAATTCAGGAATTCGTGCCCAAAAAAACTGCTAACAAAAATGAAGTGTCTAAGCTTTTTATTTCAGCAAAAGAGAAATTCAAAAATCGAACTCTATTCAACAAAAAAAAATTATCCCTTATCTATTGAGTCGTTATTGAAAAATCCTTGCCCGCGTAAACGGTATGTTCCATCAATTCATTCTGCGATAAGCCATAAATATTCTGAAAGAGGGGACTTCGGTGTATCTTTCTATGATAAAACTTCGACTTTTCTTCGAAAAATTGGATTTTCTGAGGAAGAGCTCCTCTTAAATCTCTGAATAGCTAGAAAGAATTGGTGACCGCGCCGTCTAAGCTCTTTCCGTATTCTACACTCTGGCTGAGAAAAATTTTCTAACCCTTACTCTACTCTACAAGGTAGGGTAATCCTGCACATCTCAAATGAGAATTTAGTGCAAATATCGAAAGAAAATACATCGATTTAAATGACATATCTGAAAATTTGTTCTACATGGTTCCGATTGGGATAGTTTAAAACATCTATAAGACAATGTTCTTTTCATTGCATCTTATATAACTAGAGATATTATAGTTATCCATCTACATTTTAATAAATGATGATGTTTATTAAATTGTTTCGATGAATACCATACCTTGATTTTATGAATAATATATTTATTTCCATTTATATTAATAATCAATATAAAAATTTCAACATGATTTTTCTTTGAATGGAAAAAGAAAATTTTCTTTAATAATACTACATTTACAAATGTATGAGCAATATTGATCACATAGATATATTTTCAAAAAAAAACCAAAAAACAATTTTTTTTCAAAAATACATGTAGAGCGAAAATATTTATATTCGAAGCAATAATAACAATGAATATATAAATCATGAAACAAAGCAAATTACAACAAAAAATAGATATATATGAATTAACCATTTGATGAATCCGAATTTGGCAATATAAAATGACGTGTATTAAAACGATGATTTGGTATTTTAAGTATTTTAAATCTTTGATTACATCCCATAAAAATTAATACAAAAACAACTTGAAGACCAGCCAAAGCAAAGAAATAAATATAATATCGATCATCATTATGATAATTTTCTGAAGTTTGATTTCCATTCTGAACAAATTCAAAAGCAAAAAAAAAAACATAAATCATATTATTATCTATTTCATTTCATTTTCTGTATCTTACTGTTATGGATAGGAGACCAACAATACCTGAACCA